TTTATATGTTGCTTAAGGCTTAGGCAACGAGGCCACGTTGCTTAAGAAGTGTTGCTTTCTCAATGTTGCATAAGAACCTAAGTTAACTTTGACCATTTTAAAAAAAAAAATTGGGTGATCAACATTCTACTAAGGCAACCCAGGCTAAGACATTGCTTAAGATAGTTTGAGGCAACAAACAATCATTTATACGTTGCTTGAGGTCACACTTAGGCAACATATAACCATTCTTTGCCTAAGAGGAAACTTAGGCAACTTATAATACCCTTTGTGGCCCAAGCATATCATTACCCTTGTTCAATTAAACTTAGGAATATTAGTATAAACTTTTAAACAACTATTGGTTTGTGAATATATATATATATATATATATTGGGTAATTAATAGGTCATTTGATAGTTAATGAACTTGGTATGGGAATGAGATCCGCCCTATGGAAGAACCCTGTGTACCCGCTACAAACGGGTCGGGGATTCCCTATAAACCGTGTATCAGGGATGAAGACGGAGATCCCAAAAGGTTAAAAGTCGGGGATGGGGCCGGGTAATGTGATTCTTGACCTGTCGTGTATATTAAATATATTATGTTAGGACAAAAATTGTTCTATATAATCCCAAAGTTTTATTAAAGCAATTCGGGTTAAGGATGGAAGATTCAGAGATCTGATCTACGTTAAAACAACTAAGTTTGGAAGAGCAACCAATGCCTCAGGTCCACAAGTATTCATGACTAGAGCCTCTCTTTTGGATGACTAGAGCCCCTCATTTGGATTATCAGAGCCCCTCTAGTTGAACTATGCTCTGGATGCTAAGTGTAAACACAAGCAGAGCCCCTATGGTTGACCTATGCTCTGAAAGACTATCTTAAGATCTCTAAAAACGAAGACTTCAATGCTTTAAATGTCAAATATGAAGATGATTTAGTCCAAGAGGACTTAGTCAGAAAGCTGCTTGGAAACAAAAGCTCAGATACAGAGCTCGAACACAGAAGGTATGAAGACCGAAGTCTTGCATGCAAAAATCCAAGTACTCGGATACAGAGCTTAAGTCCCAGACACAAAGCCTCTACATAATACATGTAGAGCCTCCAGGTCTCCTACTTAGCCCATCTGCGTGAAGGTTTCGCGGCTCATACAAGTGTTCCAGTCTCTGTCTGACACGTACACAGAAACAGTTATTGCAATTAGATACGTGGAGGCAGTAGACTGGTGGATGCATTGATTTTGCAATGATGCTATTTCTAGAAGATGCTTTTTTTGGAAACGCCTGTAAAAGGGTATTTCCTATATGGCAATTAAAAATGAAATCACATGAGAGTCGATTAGGTCATTGAGAGAGTTTTATAATTTCCATTTCACTAAATAAAAAAAATGGTCGGTTTCTTTTCGTCGTCTTCTACAATCTCTTATTTATCAATGCTTTAACCTTAATCTGCTGTAGATATGGGGTCTAACAACTGGTATCAGAGCCAAATCAATTAACCTTTATCCATACGATCTTTCTATCTGCACCAGATTCAAGAAATGTTTTGGGTTTTTCATAAGTACATTACTCATCCATGAACTGCTTTTTGTTCGACTATTTTTTTGGACAAAAAATTGATTGATTCACCATATTCTTATGTTTTAATGAAATTTCTTGTAAACGATTTGTTTTTGGGTGAATAGGAACCTATTTTGTCATCAAAATTAGGTTTAGGTGATGATTTTTTGGGTACATTCGAACTTATTGGACTTTGATACTGTCAAATCTATGCTTATCTCCCAAGGCGTGAGCGATGAATAGGAGAGTTCATGGTGCTCTCCGCCTAAGGCATGGGCGATTTGTTGTCAAATCTATGCTCATCGCCCATCTCATGAGTACTTGTTCATTGTCTCTCATTGTGGATTTGTGTATGCTTAAAGAATTCTTTGCCTAAAATCAACCGTGCTTAATGAATAAGATGATTTTTCATCAAGATCTGCCCTGAGAAGCTTACGCCTTTTATTGGCATTCAAGCAAGAGCTCAACAACATTATTTTCAATATTTAAGGTTAATGATTAAAGCCGGATTTGAAAGGATTTAAGAACTGTTTGATTGATTTTTGTATTTGATCAGACTAGTCAGAGTTTGAAGATGAGAAATACGAACTCATAGTTCTTAGTAAAGAGGTTTAAGAGTTATGATAGCGTGAAGAGGTGAGAGGAAAAGGGAACAAATTTATAGAGAGAGGTAAAGGTTTTTCATGATGAAGGATCACACATCTCTGTCATTCAATTGGGTAGGGACCTGAAACG